ATTCTGCACAGGCCCCCCGGGTCCTGACTCAGGGAGACAGGGCTGAGTTCCGTTTGGGCCCTACCTCAGTAGAGGGGCCTACAGGGCACCCAGCTGACATGCGCGGTCCCTGGAGGGAGGCCAAGCCTGGGGAGGCCCAATGGCAGGGATGCTGCACAGGTGCTACTGAGCAGGAAAGGCAGTCGCCCGGGCCCAGGGGCCAGACCGATGGAACTTGGGGGAGGGGCACCAGCGCTGGCGCAGAGGACAGCTCAGGGCATGGCAGGCGGCCGTGCGGGCTGGGTGTGGGCCTGACGCCCAGCTGCAGGCCTCCCCATCACCCTGCAGATCCCTGGGTATGGCCTGGAAGGGGAGATGTCTGTGGTGGAGCTTCGCGAGCGGCTGGCCCTGCTCAAGGAGACCCGGAGGCGTGAGGAGGAAGAGAAGCGAGACCAGATCATCCAGGGCAAGCGCGCCAGAAGCCAGGAACTGCAGAACGTGGTGGAACAGATCTCGCTGTGCCGCGCGGCCATGGGGAGGTCTGCAGCCTTGAGGTCAGTACCAGTGGCCCCAAGGGGCAGGCGACTGAGGCAGGAGCAAGGAGCGAGCCTGCCTTTGCGACCTCCCGGGTGGGTTCTACAACTACGTTCCACCCTTCTGCCCAGGCCATCCCCTTGCAGTAACTTCTCCCACCTCTACTATCTTATTAGCTAATCTTCAGACATACAAAAACGGCAGCAAAAATCATGCAACGATGGCCTGGATGCAGAATGATGGCATGTGGCTCATGAGCATGACCTTTGCCGTGTGTTTCATCTAGGTAGCTACTTACTCTGTCCCTGCAGAACCATCTGGAAGGAGCTGCAGGATTCAGACACTTCACTCCTAAACACTCCGGTGTGCATCTTCTGAAAAAAACATTGTCCTGCATAACCACAGCATACTGACACAACTAGAAAATTAACATCATCTCAACATCCTGTCCGTATTCATGTTTCTCTAGCATCCCAAGACTGTTCACTATAACTTTTTAAATTTTTTTAAAAGTTTATTTTGAGAGAGAGAGTGTGTGCATGCACGCGTGCGAGTGAGTTGGAGGCAGAGAGGGGAGAGAGAATCCCAAGCAGCGCCTGACGTGGGGCTCAGACTCACAAACTGTGAGATCATTGACCAGAGCTAAACCCAAGAGTCGATACAGTCGACAGTCACAAAACTCATCACTATTGGGGTGCCTGGGTGGCTCACTCAATTGAGTGTCTGACTTGATTTTGGTTCGTGTTGTGATCCCTGGGGGTTGGGATCGAGCCCCGTGTCAGGTTCTAGGCTGAGCATGCAGCCTGTTTGGGATTCTTTCTCTCTCTCTCTCTCTCTCTCTCTCTCTCTCTCTCCCTCTGCCCCTCTCCATGGCTCAAGCACTCTCTTTCTCTTAAAATAAAAAATAAAAAAAAATCCGTCACTATCGATCCTGAGTGACTGCTGCTCTGGTTACAATTTGAGGAGGTCCTGTGACAGCTGTAGGGTAGGGGCTGCCCAGCTACAGCTGGCTGGCCACTCAGCAGGTCCCTAAGGTGGCATGTGCCGGGGACGTCTCACCACTTCCAGCTGCTAGACTCAGCCTGATAGACCACACACACAGTCTGGTTGGCGTTGGGGAGCCTCCAAGGGTCCAAACCCACTAACAAAGCTCCTGGAGCTCTCTGCGTGTAGCCAGACCTCCTGGCATGAATCCACCAGGACCATTTTAGTGCACAGTCTGACTGGAGCCAGCCAAGCAGGGATGGTGGCCGAGCATGTGAACAGCACCTCCACATGCCCTGATGCTGTGAAGTGCCCCTAAACCAAAGCCAACGGGGAACAATCTGTATAATGAGGTCTCATTTTGGAAGGAAGAATGACCTAGTATGATAGAGATCTGCAAAGATATTAGCGGCTACCTCTAGGCAAGAGAGTGGCAAGGAGGCACAAGATAAAAGAGGGTTTTCACTTTTTTGCTCCAAATACCTACGTAGCCAATATACATGAGATACATTTTTGAAACGTCAAGTACAAAGGGCAAGGTAGAGGCG